CTTGGTGGTGAACAGAATCAAGTAATTTAAGATTGCTTTTGCAGGCTCCGCCATATACGATCGAACCATAATCAAGTTTAGATCGTACCAATGATCGGTATAAGTGAAGGAGGGTAGTTTGATCCCTCCCACTTTGAGTTGGAAACAACTTTTAACAAATCGAGAGCCTTCAGGCATTTAGTTTTAAGTGCTCTAATATGTGGTAGAAACGTTAAGTGTGAGTCAAAAATAATACCCAAGAACTTGGCCTCCTTCACAACTTTGATAGGAGTGCCATTTAGAGATAGTTCCGGGTCTTTATGCGGCTTATATTTTCTACAAAAGTGTAGACAATTAGTTTTGGACTTGGAAAATTTAAAACCGTTTTCAAGACACCATTTATGTATTTTATTTAAACACAGCTGCAGTTGCCGTTCAATAGTATGCATATTCTTACCACGACAAGAAATATTAAAATCATCCACAAAAAAGTGATCCATCTATTGAATCATTTAAAACCTTGGATAAACTGTTAATTTTGATGCTAAAAAGTGTGACAGACAAAATACTGCCTTGTGGGACACCCTGATCCTGATTATAATGGTCAGACAGGGTAGAACCCACGCGGACTTGAAATTGCCTGTCAGCTAAAAACTTGGATATAAATTGAGGCAAACGGCCTCTCAATCCAAAATCGTGTAAATCTCTTAAAATACCATGTTTCCATGTAGTGTCATATGCTTTTTCTAAGTCGAAAAAGATCGACACTGCATGTTGTTTATTAATCATGGCATTTTTTACAAAAGACTCTAAACGTACTAAATGATCGATGGTACTACGGTTTTTTACGGAAACCACATTGTATATTAGTTATAAGGTTATTGGTTTCCAAGTACCAAACAAGTCTGTTGTTGATCATACGTTCCATGGTTTTGCAAACGCAGCTTGTCAGTGAAATTGGTCTATAATTAGAGGGATCTGTATGATCACGTCCAGGTTTAGGGATGGGCACAATGATAGCATCACGCCACGACGAAGGGAAATTTCCAGTTGTCCAAATATCATCAAAAATATGTAACAGTGTCTCCAAACATGACTCTGGCAAGTGCTTCAGGAGTTGATAATGTATGTTATCAGCTCCAGAAGCAGTATCGTGAGCCTGATCAAGAGCGGTATGAAGCTCATGTATCGAAAAGGTTTCATTGTAGTCTTCCCCGTTATCTGAATTGAAATTAATAGCTTTCTTTTCTTGCTGTTTTTGATATTTTTGGAATTCAGGTACATAATTTGCTGAGGAAGAATGTTTGGCCAACGTCTCACCAAGTTTATTTGCAATATCTGATTTACTAGTCAATAATGTGTTCCCATCTTTTAGATGGTGGATGCTAGATTTAGAGCCCTTACCCTTGATTTTCTGGATCATATTCCACACCTTTGATATAGGTGTGCGCGAATTAATCTTTGATATATAGTTTCGCCAAGATTGACGTTTACTTTGCTTGAAAGTGCGTCGTGCTTTGGCGTTTAAAATTTTAAATTTGTCCAAATTGTGGACCATAGGATGGCGACGGAAATAGTGCTCGGCTTTCTTCCGGGCCTTCCTAGCCTGTTTGCAGTCATTGGTAAACCATGGTTTTCGTACGTGAGGAATTGCAGAGGACTTTGGGATACACTCGTCAGCTATGTTATTTAGTTCATCTGCAAAACATTTTATGGCATCAGGAATGTCATTAAAAAGTTCAGGTTTCAGATTGTCAACACAGAGAGCTTCATATAAAGGCCAGTTAGCCTTTCTAAAATTCCATCTTGACGATGGAGGAACATCAGATGGATTCACAGGTGTCAGTATTGTTGGGAAGTGGTCACTTCCACAGAGGTCGTCATGGACCGACCATTCGAATTCACTCAGTAGGTTAGAGTCAGCAACAGTCAAGTCAAGAGCTGAATATGTTCCTGTGCCAGGATGTAAATATGTCTGTGAACCGTCATTATAAATGCATAAATCATTATTTGAAATAAAATCCTCCAGTAATTTACCTTTGGTGTTTGTATTAATACCACCCCAGAGTGGGTTGTGGCCATTTAAATCCCCCATGATTAAACAGGGTTTAGGTAGTTGATCATAAAGAGCTTGTAAATCTGAAAGTTGAACAGTTGATGAAGGCGGAATGTATAGAGAGCACAAAGTAAAAGCAACCTGTAATGTAAGGCGAACTGCAACGGTCTGGAGATTTGTTTTAAGTGGCACAGGGCTATGTATAATATTGTTCCTCACCAAAATTGATGCTCCACCAGACGCTCTATCGCCAGGAGGAGAGAAATAATGATATGCACTGAACTGACGTAGGTCAAAATTATCTGCCTGTTTCAGATGGGTTTCTTGTATGCAGAACGCTGATGGTTTGAAATCTTGGACTAATAGATGTAACTCGTTTAAATTAGTCCTAATTCCTCTACAATTCCATTGAATTAGAGGTGAAGCCATTATTTCTTTGGCGGATGGACAGGAGATCTACCCCTCACCTTCCTTGAGGGTGACAAGCTATGTGTCCTACCATGGCTGTGGTCGGACACATCCATGTCCTCAAGGGATCCAAACTTATTGTAAAGTTTGACCTGGTTAGTCGACCCTTTTGGGGCTCTGTGACTTTGATTCTTTTTTGTTTTCATAGTTTGGTTTGGATTGATTCTTCACAGTTACTTTCACATTTTTGTCAGATGGTTGCTTCTGAAATGAGGATGTGTCTGTCTCAGAAAGTGCCTTAGACGGAGTGATAGTTTGCAAAGGCATGGTTTGAGCACTTGAAGTCACCTTTGAAGGTCTCGCTTGAATTTCAGCAGTTACCAAGGTAGGAGCAGAAGTCCTAGCCCACGTATAGTCGGTTTGGCAACCTACTGAAGTATATGAAACATTTTTTTGGTGTAGAGGGCTGAACCGAAGCCGAAACAGTGGCAGCATAACTTGGACCTAAATGTTCTTGAGCAAGAACAATCTGTTTAGCTTCAAAGAAGGACACGTTTCGCTCATGCTTCACTCGCGAAATTTTGGATTGCAACTTCCAGGAAGGACATTCCTTGGAAGAAGAAGGATGGCAACCTGCACAGTTGACACAAAGAGGTGTTTTGTCACAAAGGATACTGTCTTCGCATGTTCCAGCACATCGATGACATGCAGCTGGATTGTTGCAAGACTTGGCCCCGTGACCATACTTCTGACAAGTATAGCATCTTAAAGGATTGGGGATGAAAGTATCCACCCTCAAGTTGCAATAACCTGCTTTCAGTGATTGTGGGTGAACTGGCATACAAAACGTGAACAAATAAGTATTTGTTTTCAAGGTTTCATTATTCTTTTTTAGCCGTGAATCGTTTGACATGAGTTACCCCTTGAGAATGCAATTCGGTAACGATTTCAATATCGCTCATGTCTGATAGGCAACGTCCATTATCACGGACGATGCCTTTGCTGCTATTCAATGTCCTGTGAGGGGACACCTCCACAGGAACATTTGCTAAAGATGTTGTTTTCAGAAGAATGTTGGATTGGATTGGTTTCCTGCATTCGATTAGCAGGGAGCCAGATCGCAACTTTTTTTTATTTCTTTAACGTCTCCGGCCAAACCTTCGATACCCTTTGCAACAGCAAAGGGATTCAGTTTAACAGGGCCACCATCGGGGGCACACATGACTACAAAGCGAGGCCAATTTTCAGGGTTGGTGATAATACTTTGAGCTTCATCCTCTGAAGACAATGAATCATCTGATTCATGTGAGCGTTTTTTGAGTGGGGGGTGCCATGGTTAAAGTATATATGATTCACCCTCCTAGCTCCCCACCCACCATGGAGTGTCAACAAGGACGATGCCTCATGTCTATGGGTCTCCAACAGACGGCACCAGGGATACTAGGAGGGTATACTCAAGCAGAAAAAATCTTGAAAAGATAAATTCTACCGGATTGGCCCATGAGCCACCGCCTTCTGGGCATACGACTCTAGGCAAAAACATACATGAAATATTGTATTTGAAATTATCATATCAAAATTGGCCAAGACTTAAAAATATCATTATATAAATCCAAAAATTTTGTGTAACAATTCATAATTGTAGTACACACAGGGCTTGGCGTGACCAGCCGATTGATTGAACCGGGCCAGTTCAACCACCCGTCTAGGTGAAGTAAGGGGCGAAGTGGTGTGTTGGGCAAAGGAACACTGTTCCTGGAACCAGTGCCCTCAACCACCAGCCTCCCGTCCTCCACCGACACAGGGGCGCAACCCACGGCAAACGGGTTGGTGGACCAAATATGCCCCCGGGTCCACAACGGGGGGTTGAAGGGCTCTTAGCGTTACCCAGCACCCACCACGAGGAGGTGGCCCTTCACGGGTGCCTACAGGGGTTATAAGTCGTAAAGTTCGTAGTATTGGAAAAAGCCTCAATCTACACAGACCGTTCTTTGTCTCACATTAATCGTCGACAGAGGCCACAATACACAAATTACTTTTTTTTAAGCTTATTAAGTTCAGGTTATTACGCAGTATTCATTCTAAATGATAGTAGATTGTCATTTTTTCATCATAACATACATATCACCAGATATGAAGCAGAACTACCCGGGAAGATGTCCAAAACAAAAAGCAGACAAGCTGGACACTCTCCACGATGCCTGTAGGAAAGGGAACCTGGGCCGAGTGAGACGCATCCTGTCCCGAGGTTTGGTTGACGTCAACAGCAGAGATGAGAAGCACAGAAAGACACCACTCATGGTGGCGGCTCAAGAGGGACATAGACGACTATTTGCCTTGCTTTGGGGAAAAGGAGCTAATGTATCAGACGTAGATGAAAACGGAGACAACGTCCTGCACTTGGCCTGCAGAGGATGACGTATGGGTATTGTGAAGGATGTAGTCAAACATTACAGTGTTGATATTAACAGTAAGGGAATGCACGGGTCAACTCCATTGCTGCAGGCTGTATATTGTGGACACAGAGACCTGTTGAAGTTCCTCGTGACCAAGGGAGCTAATTTGTCACACGTGGATGATGATGGAGAGAATATGCTGCACTGGGCCTGCAGAGGGGGACATGTGGGTGTCGTGAAGGATATACTCGCACAATACAGTGTTGATATCAACAGTAGGGAAAATCATGGAGAGACCCCCCTTATGAAGGCTGCATCAGAAGGACACAGAAATGTTTTTGAGTTCCTCGTGAGTTTGGAAGCTAATCTGCATACGTGGATGATGACGGCGACAACATACTTCATCATGCTTCAGTTGGGGGACATGCAAACATGGTTCAGCATATCCTGTCCCAAGAAATGGCGAACATCAACAGTAGAGGAAAATACGGAGGGACACCATTGATGAGAGCAGCATTTTATGGACATAGAAAAGTGTTTGATCTTCTTCTGAGTAAAGGTGGTCTAACGCAGTTAGTGGATGATCATGGTCACAACATCCTTCATCTGGCCTCTTTACGTGGAAGCGTTATGATGGTGAAGCACATCCTCTCACTGAATGTGGCCGACATCAATGTCAGGGACAACCGTGGGAAAACGGCAGCCATGATAGCAAAACGTAATGGAAAGCCAAGACTGTCTCACTACTTGCATCGCAAGGTTGTCCAGTAATATGAGTGTAGTTTATGGGTATATTTCATGCATTATGATATGTTAGCTGTTACCAGTAGTAGAATTTCACATGCTTCCTTTAAGGCGTTCAGCTAACAGACATGGGTGAACGCTTATTCATTTATTCTTTTTTTTTATTGCTTTATTTCTTTTTTTATCTGGGTACAGCATTCCATACACATATCACAGGTCGGCATATTTGTAATATATAAAGCAAGACAAATATAATCATTGTCCATATAAATAGATTGTTGCAATACTACCAAAATGAGACAAAAGTGAGCTAGAGAAGGTAAAATGTTTTCGACTTTTCTAAAATATATCATGTATTATTTCGTTAACATAAAAATGAAGTTCAGTACATCATTTCGTCTCTCTTTCAATCCAAGATTATTTTTTTCTGCGTTTAATTTCAAATGGGGGGGTGTCTGTTTCATTTTCAATCCATCTTAAGCCTTGTTTATATGCACCCCTTTTACTCCCATGGGTATTTTGCCCCCGGGGGTAAATTTACCCACAGGGGCAAAGGGCAAAATTATGTCTTCGTTTACATTGCAAGTATGGGTGGGGGTATTGATACTTCTTGTCACTTCTCTCTAATCATGGATAAGTATAGACGTTTGTCCAAAGAGAGAAAACGGAAGCGATTCGTCCAAACGTTGATTTTGTGCGTGGGTTCATCACTACTACTACTAGAGACCGCATTGTTTGGGAAAATAAAAGGAGTAACTGTACCACCTTATGATGAAGCTCAGTGGAAGGATAACTTCATAATGTCAAGAGACATGTTCAAATGCCTCTGTGAAAAGCTCCATCCTCACATCCTTAAAAAAGCCTTCGAGATGCTCTGACAACCGAACACCGAGTAGCGGTTGCAATTTACTACTTGGCAACAACAGTCGACTATCGCCTTGTTGGTAATCTCTTTGGGATTGGTTGTGTAGTACATGGAGTGTGTTATGCAATCTGTACACACGTGTTTCCAAGTGTTGTGAAGTTTCCTACAGGCGAGGAGCTAAGGAAAGTGATATCAGTTATAGAGAAAGTGATAAAGATGCAAAATATATTATGCCGACTACGTCAACAGAAAAGGATGGAACTCAGTAATCCTGCAGGCTGTATATGATGACAGGTACAAGTTTACAGATGTGTGCATAGGGTGGCCAGGTCGGGTTCATGATGCCAGGGTATTCTCTAATTCAGCATTCAAAGCTTCAGCAGATCCTGGTCGCATCTTACGACAGTCCCCAGAATGGAAGAAAAGATTGGGTACTGGTGACAATGAAGTTGACATGCCTGTCGTCACCATTGCAGATCCAGCCTACCTCGTGTCTCAATGGTTCTTAAAACAGGACAGCAACAGAGGGAACTAATCAGAAGAGAAGTCATAAATCAACTTCCGCCTCAGCAGTGCACGGATGGTCATTGAAAATACGCTTGGACGCTTCAATGGAATATGGAGGCCCTTCATGAAGAGTATCATGAAGAATGTTGACTTTGTGCCGACTTTGGTTGTAGCCGCTGTCGGTCTGCGTAATGGACGAACATGTTCAACCCTGACTGGCTGGATGAAGTTCAGGTACATGACAGGACCACAAGATCAAATTGATACCACTGGATCTGCTGTGCAAGATGTTCTCGCATCACAGTTTGCGGAGGAGCGATAAAACAAGATACATCATTACCACTTTTTTATTAATTCCTTTGTTAAGGCAAAACAAGACAAAAAATGTTCAATGATTTTATTTCTGGAAAGACTAAGCAAATGACAAACAGCTTGTGTTTTGTTATGTTCAAAATATAATATTTCCCTCAAGTCATTTGTCATCTTCCTTTGTTGATAATTTAAAAGGTTTTAAAGAGTACCAAAAAATGATCATGTTCCCACATCATCCCACTGCAAGTTACATATTGTAGTAGCTGTTTCCATCCTCTTCTTAAGTGACGCTGACTCTGGTTCTTCTCTGACCACGGCGAGGAACATGGTCGTTGGTGTAGTCAGAGCTGACTGGAGGCCTGGCTCCTGAAATGAATCATATACCGGATCAACAGGAGGCCGAGGCATTGGTGGACATTGGATGGATGATGGATTGGCATATGGTTCACGAGTGTTCGAGATTTACTGTAGCATATTGGTGTTCTCTTTCTGTCTTTCTTCTTTATCGAGTTTTCTAAGTTCAAACTCTCTTTTTTCTTTCTCGTCATTGATATTTCTCAATTCCAGCTCAATTCGTTTCTTTTCCAACAAAATCCTTGCTTCAATATCTTCATTTGGTTTAGCAAACTTGTCCACGACAGTTTCTAAAGATTTTTGCAGTTTGTTTTTTCCTTGTTTTCTTTTTTGTTTCTTCTGAGTTTCATCTTTTGTTCCTTTTGTTGGTCATGTTTAGCATTTTCAACATATTCATCATCTCCTGGGTCAGCATGTTCGACATCATCAGCAGTGTTGTCGGTAACATGATCATCAATAACTTCAAGACCAGATATGTATGTATCTGATGCAACTGACTGCTGGAGACTTTGAATGACCTTTCCAGGTGATGTCGCAGGTCTGGTATCCAAAATTTCATTTAGCTGTTCATAAACTTTCCTGGGCTGTCCACCCCTTTTAAGTAAATAACTACACTGGCAATAGGATTTTAAATGTTTTCATTCGTTCTCTGCATTGTACGGCCATGTTCTCAAACCCCAGTTCAAGCATTGCCTTGTTCACCTTTGAATAAACAGCTGTATCATGGACTGTCCATTTTGGATTTGATGTGCATGTCTCCCCAGATACTACGCAGACACTTTATCTCATCTGCCCAGGCATAACCCCGTCGTAAACGCTTGTCTTTCGTAGTCATGCTGTTTCCAGTGTAGAGCTACAGATTAATGCAGGGTGGATAGTGCATAGTAACAGGTTGTATCATAGCTTTGCTTAGATTTCCTGGAAAAACATTCCATTATAAGCAGGGATGGATGGTTTTATACAAATGTACCCCTGGTTGGATTCACCTTGACGGACCGTTTTCATGACACTTTTACCCCTTGGGGGTAGAATACCCCTGGGGGTAACTGAATTTGCTCCACCTCTTGACCAGGGGCAGAATACCCCCATGGGGGTATAATTTACCACCCTGTAAGACCCGTTTACACGACAAAATCTGCCCCTCAGGGGTACTTTTACCAACCGGGGTATTTTATTCCAGGGGCAAAGGGGTGCATGTAAACAAGGCTTTAGTAAATCTTGCGACAGACTTTTGACAAATTTGCATTCATATAGTAAATGAATAATCAATTCTATTTCAACATCACAAAATGTACAAATGGTGATTTTAATACTTTGTATTTGTATAAATCTGTATTTGTTGTGAGAATTCTATAGTAAATACGATATTGAAACCATATGTGTTTAGCAATGTAAGATGATCGAAATGGTATTAATTGTATGTTACGTCTTCTGGAGAACAATACTGGTACTGCTAGTTTGTGTTAACATGGTATATATATTTGTCTGTGTATATTCAATAAAGTATTATTATTATATGTTGTTATTATGCAACTTAGATGGGCATTAAGAACTTATAAACATGCGTCAGTAGTGTGTGTGTGTGTGTGTGTGTGTGTGTGTGTGTGTGAGTTGGTTTTTGTTGTGCATTGAACAATGTGTCAGTCATTTTTATCCCAGCTTATGGCTTTTTTTGTAAATAAAGCCTCACATGGAGCTAGTCGATGTTGCAAAACTAGAATTTGAATCAACGAACATACATGTGGAATTCTAGACAAACACTGTTCAGGGCTTACGACACCTGGCCAATCGTTCCCCTTCTCTGTTCATGCGAAACTGAACTTGAAGTTGATCTGAGTTCTCAGCAGGACTCCATGGGGCATTTAGCGGAATATTTGTTCCTGTCATAAATGTGACATAAATGCAACAATCTACCGACAGCGTTATCCGAAGTCCAAGAATAAATAATAAGAATTTCATAACGTACGATGAAGGTTTTTCAATGATATGGATTTGGTGTGTATGTTGTAGTGTGTATGTGATGTGTTTAGTGATGTATGTGTATGTGATGTGTTTAGTGTTTTGTGGTGTAGACGTGTATGTGTGACGGATGTGTTTAGTGATCTATTAAGTGTTTTTTTTATGTAGACGTGTATGTGTGACGGATGTGTTTAGTGATGTATGTGATGTGTTAAGTGTTTTGTGATGTAGACGTGTATGTGTGACGGATGTGTTTAGTGATGTATGTGATGTGTTTAGTGTTTTGTGATGTAGACTTGTATGTGTGACGGATGTGTTTAGTGATGTATTTAGTGTTTTGTGATGTAGACGTGTATGTGTGACGGATGTGTTTAGTGATGTATGTGATGTGTTTAGTGTTTTGTGATGTAGACGTGTATGTGTGACGGATGT